CCTTTTCTTGCCATTTATTAAACTCTTCTTCTTTGGCCGCTAATTGATCGGCTATAGCCTGCATTTGCTCTACAAACAAACTAGTAAGTATGAATGTTACTTTTTATCGCTTTAACAAGAAATGAATTAAATTTTAATTCTTTACCTCGCAGTGACTTATTTTCGTCTTCAATATCAGCAAACCTTGTTTTTTCTTGGATTATTTCATTGTTCAACAGATCAAGTTTTGCATAGGCTGATCGGAGACCCTTGGACTGTTAAAGAGAAGGAAACATTTTTGAGGTAATGTCTTATTATTGTAACCAATATTTACCCTGAAGTTTACACACACACCTTATCCTTAAAAGCTTTGTAAAGTGAAGTTATATAATCCTTAAGTTTCTTCGGGTCATCCTTTATGAAGGAAAGTTTTATCATTTATGCGTTACATAGGAAGAAAGAAAAAAGAAAACCATTCCAATACCTCTGTGCTGATGATGGTTGCATAATCCCCAAAGTCATCATCACGTTTATTAGAGGTAACGATGGTATTTCTGCGAAATAGTCCTCCCGTGCGCATTTCGATAAAATATTTGATAGTCTAGTAAGTGATGACGATAGGTCAAAGTCCAGCTTTGAACAGGTGCAATAAGATAGAGAGGGTGAGCAAACAAAATGACAGAAGGGCGGATGGGAAAGAGTAGATAAATGAGACTGTATTTCTAAAAGTAATGGAAAAGCGGTAATAGATCAATCATGTCATACCAATAAGCAACGTTTGTTGTTTCAGTCGCAAGAAAAAAGAATCCGTTGTTTTTATTTTGAGAAAGGACAAAGACGTTTACTTTAAAAAATGATTGTTAAACGATTGTGAAGTTTTAAATATTTTTTTTCTTGTTTGGTAAAAGCAATGCTGTCAATGGTTAACTGCGCAATTGATTATTATTTTTTTTTTTTGTAAAGAAACAGAGTCCAACAGACAACAATTAAAGGCAAGAACTATATATGTAACATGTAAGGATAACGTGGGAGAATCAAGAAAATATTGGTTATAATATATATATATATATATATATCCAGGTACAATCGAATTCAAGTACAAAAATTAGGAGAATTTCGCGATGTTCTTTTTTTTTCTGTACAAAAACATGATTATTTATAGGGATCTTAAATCAACTATTGAAATCGCCAAATACTTGTGTATTAAAGAGTGATATG